TTCTGGATGCCCCGGTGTCGATTGTGGCTTCCGTTGCGTATCCGGCCGTTGCTTACCTGTAGAGAGTTATTTAGTCGCGGGTTGGAGGAGGCGTTGTTCCCGGCTGATCTCGTGTCAGTTGGGGACGCATGTCGTTTCCCGACGTATTCTGGCGGCAGCAATCGACGGTCCGTGTGCCGCGTTTGCCACATTCCCAGCAGAATAGGATCGAGAGACTATGGCAGTCGTATGCCGCATGCCCGGCTTCACCACACCGGCGACAGGCGGTGCGTGGGTTGGCGATGGGGATCGTGATCATGCGATGTGCTATATCGGGATTCGTCGTACTGTTTGGTTGAGCCGGCGGTCTCCCTGGTGTGTCTGTCGATTCCCAATGTGGTCTCCGAAATGGCGTCCGCTGCGAGTCACTGTTCCTTTTCTCTGTAGCTGGCCTTGGGTATCTTGGCGTGTTCCGCGGGGGTGCGAAAGTGGTCGGAATGGTCCGCCCTTGGATGCTCTCGAACTCTGTGACCAACAGTGTGAGCTGTGCTAAGTTTTGTAGTTCGTGTCGGCGCACGTACATCTGATATGCTGGCAGCGCGTTGTCGTAGATCCTGTTCACTTCCTTGGCAGCGTTGTACCTGGCGTGGTGCATGAGTAGACGTATCTCGATGAGGAAATCTTTGAACAGTTCCCCCGCCACTTGCTTGCGGGCTCGGATGCAGGAGTGCGGTATTCGGTGGCTGCGGGGACTCGTAATCCGGTCTTAGGATCCATTTGGCGAGTGTCGGATGGTCCAGGAGTAGTGGGCAGTGGTGACTTGGAGCGAGAGCGTGAGGCTGGTACGGCATAGTGCGGCAAATTTCTTTCGGCGTTCATCGACCGTTCCTTCGCTGCCGAATCTGAATTCTTCGGCGAGGACTTCTAGTTCGTCCCGACGGAGTTTGTGGATCCAGCCGGTGCTGACCCCTGGATTGGAAAAGTGTCCCGCAGGGTATGCCTCCTCTGGTTGTTCATCGTCGTGATGTTCCATGTTGATTTCTGTTGATTTTTGGACACTGAGTCACTGTTGAACGGCACTTTTAGGATCGGCACTGCGTATACTTTCGCGTTTGTTTTCGCGTAATTATGTAAGTGCGCGTGTTATTGATTTCCTTTTCCTTTTTCCTTTTCCTTTCCTTTTTGATGGCAGTGGGTCTTTAATAGACGAAGTCCCTGATTTCGGTTTTCTTGAAGTTTCCACAAAAAAAATCCTTTAAGGTCCCTGCTCGGGCGCCACTTGTAATGTCCTATCTCAGGCTGAGGTATGCATCAGTCTGTTCAGGGTCCTGAATTACAAGTTATTTATAATTCACGAGGACTTTATCGGGAAAACCAGGAACTTTGCCAGCAATTGAAATAGAAATCACAACACTTTTTGGTTCTTTTAATTTTAATGGATTTCATTATTCTTCCGTATTATTATTCTACCCGGTTATGTTATGTTTAATTGTTCTACGACGCGTATGGGGGTTTGACTGTCCTCTTCGATGGCTGGTGGACTGCCTCCGACGATGGCTGGTGGACTGCCCTCGACGATGGCTGGTGGACTGCCTTTTTATTGATCGGCCGGCCTTCCATGAATGTCTTATAGATATCTTATTTCTACTCCAGAATGTGGGAAGGGTTCTTACATAAATATCTATGGCCGAATTATAGTCTGCGCGTGCAAACGGGCTGATCGGTAACAGAAGGTTACCTAATCATTAGCCCTGCAGTCAGTGTCCAATATTCCCGGTAAGGAAAGTCGGAGACTGCTGACTGGCTTGCGCATGTGGGGGGTTTTGCCCGGTAATCGAGGGTTACCTAAGCAATCGCCTCCCAACAAGTGTCCAATGTCCCCGGTAAGGTGATCGATGTGCACCGGTACCGTGGGAAAGGAATGTAACTTAGGGAAATTTGAGGTTTTACTTGGTGTTTATTTATACGGTTATACATGTAGAGATATTTTCAACTTAAAGACAGGTGTTCCTGTGTATATTTAATTAACAATTATAAGCGAGTTGGCATCTCTCAAACTATCGAGGCAATGCGTGAGAGATACCAATAGTAAGTATCGTACCAGGAGTATCGATAAAGAGGGAGATCGTGGCGACACTTCTAAGAAATAAGCGAGCGAGCGAGATTGAATAAAAAGTATTTAAAAGCATTCGAAAGTGTGTTATCAATTCGTAAATCAAGTAACGATTGGTTACAATTAAGTCATCCTACATTTTGACCATTCTTATTACGAGGAAAGTAACAAATAAATTCTATCGAACTACCGATCGGTATGAAACAGTAGTATTTACATCTGTGAGTTTGGTCAAACGGCTGTAGCTAGTCCATGGATTTTTAAACCAGTACTCGAGAAGTTTAGGGCATATTAGATTTTTGGTAAAAGTGGATGTGTGTAACGCTGAGAAGGAAACGTTTCCGACCCCATAAAGTATACATTCTTGATCAGCATCAATAGCCGAGTCGATATAGCCATGTCTGTCTGTCCGCCCGTCCGTCTCGATGAGCGCATATATCTCAGAGACTATAAGAGATAGAGCAACAAAATAGAACCGACTTTTTCGGATAGATTGGGAGATTTAAATTTTTTTTAAGAATTATGCTTTTTTTTCTATTGCAGAACTTTTTTATTATATAATTTTTGAAACCTGGTATTTTTTTTGTTAAACCTTTTTTCAGAGGCAGCGCTTCTTTTTATACCCGTACTCAAAAAGAGTTAAGGGGTATATTAGATTTGTGGTAAAAGTGGTGGACCCCATAAAGTCGATATAGCCATGTCTGTCTGTCTGTCTGTCCGTCTGTCTGTCTGTCTCGATGAGCGCCTAGATCTCAGAGACTATAAGAGCTAGGGCAACCAAATTTGGTTTCCAGACTCATGTGATATCCCACTGCTACAAGTGTATTTCAAAATTTCGCCCCGCCCCCTTCCGCCCACACAAATGACGAAAATCTGTGGCAGTCACAAACGCAGTATCGTAAAGAATGCCCATTTCTATCAGATTGCCGAATCTGAATCAGATCGGATCATAATTATAGCCAGAACTGTATTGTACTGTATTGGTACTGGTACTGTTTGGTCTTCGGTGAACGAGTCTAATAACCTTGTGCCCATGTCACGACATGACTTTATCGACGGCTTGCTAGATCTATCCCTGTCTCAAGTCAACCATGTGAAAAATTCCATGGGTCGATTGCTTGATCTGTGCTTTGTCTCGGATCCGACCATAGCGTTGTTAGCCCGAGCCCTTCCGCTCACTATACCTGAAGACTCCTACCATCCTACATTCGAAGTGTTGGTCGATATTGACCCTACTGTATTGGATCGAATGGGTAGGCTATCTGAACGTGTCCGCTGCTTTCGTAAGGCCGAGTTTACGAAGCTTAATAACCTCATTAGTTATTTTGATTGGTCCGCTCTGTATTTGTGCACTGACGTTATGAAAGGCACAAACATTTTTTACAATGTACTTGACACATTTTATGATTCTTGTGTCCCACTTTCTTGTCCGGTTAGATCTGGAAAGCCTCCTTGGTTTACCAAAGAGTTATCCAGTCTAAAAATCTTAAAATGAGTTTCTAAAAAATTTCGAGAAGTTGGTTCTCCCTCTTCTCTTTCTCACTATGTAATAGCTCGGTCAAATTTCTCCGTTCTTAACGGTCAATGCTATAAAAACTACCTGTCTCGATGCAGGATATGATTTTCACAGACCCTAAACAGTTTTACAGCTTCGTAAATAGTAAGCGTAGAACGCCCGCACATCCATCCTCGTTATCTTTTCTCAATATGTCAGCAAACAATGATCAGGCAATTGCCGATCTTTTTGCCAAATTTTTCCAAACAACCTATTCTCAAAAAATTTTGTCAATCTGAAAAGCTAATTTATGCAGGTTCAAATTGGACCCCAATACTTTGTGATATCAAATTTATTTCCTCTGTCCTTATATTTTTGTGTATAGGTGCATTTAAAGTAGTTTTCATTCAAATCTATGAAGAGACGGCGGATCTAAAACTGGCTGACCAAACCTCCAAAAATCACATTTTACCGCTTGAAACGTTGCTGCCCCAACGTTTTGGGCCCTTTCATAATTTTTAATCAAAATCTAAAGTTTAAATATAAACAAAAAACATAACGTTGACAAGAAAATTGTACCACCTTTCACAGAAAATTTGATTCGTGATGATAGAATAGATATTGATGCAGATATAGAGAATCAAAGTTTAAATTTTCTAACATTTTTACAACTTTCTGCAACTTTAGCCTTTTAAAAAAAATTTTTTCGTAGGGTGTGGTTTTATTTTCAGAGATTAACTTTTAAGCGGCATAAATTTCTTACAAAATAAGCTACTAATAAATAAAATTGTTCAAGGAATGCCAACAGTACGATGTTTTTAGTAAATATACCCCATATATCACAAAGAAATGTTTGTTTACTTGGTATACTCTGCCTCGTGCAATCTTCGGGTCTGGCGGAGGAGAACGAGATAGAAGGTAATGATGCAAATGACAGATGTAGCGAAGAAGTGGAAACAGATAAAATATTTAAATCTGACTGGCTATGTACCGTGTATAAAGGTAGAGGCGCGACTTTAAACACGGCACATACCGTTCCCTCTCGTTATATCTTAGATATCAGAAAAGTTAAAAATACATAATCTAAACACAAACTCATTTAATAAATCAAGATGACAGCCGCAACGAAAAGTTTTGCGAGATAAATGTATATGAACGTTTGTTTAATATTTTTTTCATTGGTGTGCACTAAGTTTTTAATTTTGAAAAAGCCGCAACGAAAAGTTTTGCGAGATAAATGTATATGAACGTTTGTTTAATATTTTTTTCATTGGTGTGCACTAAGTTTTTAATTTTGAAAAATACTTATTTAAAACTTCTAGCTGTACTAGTCTGGATTTCTCATTGCCTTTAAAGACTAAACGCCCAATCCCTTAGCATGTACCGTGCGCATGTGGTACTGCGTGGACTTACCGTGTAAGAACACAATGTCGTGAGGTATTCCATGAATACAGTGATCTCGCTTCTAGGGATATTGAAGATAGCCGGTTACCTACAAATAAGAATTAAATAATAATTTATTAATTACAAAAGGTTTTAAATAAAGTAAATGTTCGATATACGATATAAGATCCTAAAATCGGGATTTATCAAGAAACTATTATTATTTGCAGAAACTATTTGGGGGAAACTTGGAAACGACAGACGGTCTTAAACCGCAATAAGTAGGTCAGGCAGAGAATGTGCCCATGCGGCACCACAGCGGGCCTACAAATAGGCCAAAGTTTGCTGGGGACAGGCCCCTTATTCCCAGCTACCGCCTTTACCGAATCTACCCTATTAAGCGGTCGGACATGGAATGGAATTTCAAAGTTTCATTCCTTCCCATAGAAAATGTAAACATAATTAACCGCTTGTGATGGTGTGAGAACAGAAAGACAGATGTAGTGGAAAAGTGGACACATAAAATATTATAAAATTACAATCAAATATATCATCATCAGGTGGAAAGATCATAAGAAAAATGCAAAAAAAAGAATGAACGTGTAAGGCGCTACTTTGGACACGACTCTCTTTTACACCCCCGTACTCAATCAGTATATAACTTTGTGGGCTTATGATTAATGTTTATTTTTAAAAAATTTTACATATTACATTTTTATACCCGTACTCAAAAAAGAGTTAAGGGGTATATTAGATTTGTGGTAAAAGTGGATGTGTGCAACGCAGAGAAGGAAACTTTTCCGACCCCATAAATGATATATATTCTTGATCAGCATCAATAGCCGAGTCGATAGAGGTATGTCTGTCTGTCCGTCTTTCCGTCTTGTTTGACGCCTGGATCTCAGAGACTATAAAAGCTAGAGGAACCAATTTTGTTTCCAGACTCACGTGATATCACACTGCTACAAGTGTATCTAAAAATTTCGCCCCGCCCCCTTCCGATCCTACAAAGGACGAAAATCTGTGGCAGACACAATTTAAAAGATACGCTAAAATTAAAAACGCAGTATCGTAGAGAATGATCATATCTACCAGATTGCCGAATCTGAATAAGATCGGATCATAATTATAGCCAGAATGAAGAAATTTTCATTTTCAGTTGCTTCCCCTGCCCCCTCCAGCCGACAACAACGCAACTCATTTTCCTTCTCGCTCGCACACTCTGCCGCGCTCAGTGCGCGAGCAACCCCTAGCGGAGGAGATGTAGAATCTTAATGGTACATGTACAACCTACATGTTAGATGTATAATATACATTGTATATGTATATGTAGATAACATATGCAGCAAAAAAATGTTAAATGTAAAATTTTATTTTTTTATTTTTAAAATTCTAAAAAATCATAAGCCCAAAAATGTATATACTGACTGAGTACGGGTATAAGTGGAGTCGCGTCCCCAGAAGCGACTCACACGTTCCTTCTCGTTTTTTTGTGTATAGGTGCATTAAATCGGCGTCGTTGAAGGTATTATCAAAGACTATACCAAGATGTTTCAATGCCTCGGCCCGCTTCGAGTGGAGCGACAGAATACAGCAACTAAATATGAAGTGTGACGACGAGAATAGGCGGGCCTTAAATAATGAATAAAAAGTAAAATGGACACTGAGAAACATAAAAGATAACACCAGTCAACACGATATTTATACTCTTATAGATTTCGGGGTTTAAAAATGTTTAACGAATTATGGTTTTTTTTTATATTCTAGTTTTTTTTTAAATAATTTTTTTATTGTTTTTTTTTCAGAAATCCGACCCAGACACTTTGTATCTGCAGCTTAACGCCTGGAAGATATTAAGCTTTCAAATTCAAATCGAACAATGTTTTTGCGGTATTTTGTCCTAAAAAATATTTGTTCGGTCTCCCAGCCGAGCATTATTTAGTATGTTTAGTCAGTGGTGCAGCTTTAAAGTAATTCCTGTTATTTGTTCGTTATTTTCACTGCTCACTGTACCTAATTGTAATCGACATGTATCTACACCCGCCCCCTCACTGTAATAGCCGTTTCAACCGTTTTTTCGTCTCGCGCCTTTCTCCTTTCTATCATTCTCATTCTGTCGCTCTTTCGTTCTATCGATCATTTTAGCTCTCTCGTTCTCTCGAACACTCTCTCGCTCTCTATTTCGTAGCATCGCGTAGGGCACGGGCAAATCGGTTCGTCTGCCCTAACATGCCTTCGCAATGGTCATGATCTGGTCTAGCACTTGCATGCCTTTGCAATCTCTCGCACTTTTCTTTCGTCGCATATATAAACACGAATCGCGGTTTATATATGCATCTAGCTTTCGTCTTTCTTTCGTCTTCGCTTTCGCTCTCTTCATCTATCTTTCTCTCGCTTGCATTAGGGCACGGGCAATACGTTCCGCCTGCCCTTAGCGGAGTCTTGACGTAGCACTCGCACTTGACACATCGTCGCCTAATCGACCAGGCATATTATCAATAAACAAACATATATGTACATTAATCTGTTCGTGACGTTTTCTTGTAACTAAAGGTGATACATTTGGTATCCTCCTCTAAACAATATTTTTTGTATATTTTTTCATGTTTTAGGTTTGGTTAACGAATTTTAGCTCCACCGTCTCTCCATAGATTTAAATTAACAATACCTTAAACGACTCCTTATTAATGCGTCTATCTTAAACTAAAAATGCATGCCAAGAACTATTTTTTTTTCGACTTCTCCCGAGTTTTTAAAGTCAGCCGAAAAGAGGTGGCAAATGTCAAAAATATTTTATGAACGCTTTGAATAAAATAAATGTACACATCGAATAGAAAATTTGCAAGAGCTTTAGCGAATCTAAATTTCAAGATAATTTTAGTTTCGGAGATATGAGCACTCAAAGCAGAAAATTTTTTTAGTGTAAAAAGTGTATTGAACCCTTTTTTACGTTATAATTTATCAAGTTGGTACCACTGTGCGCATCTGCTCAGCTGTTTTGAGCTCGCTCGCATCGTTACGTACGAACAGAAGTCTGTCTGCATAGCCGACACCGCGTGCTCCACTGTCCGTGGGGCGTACTAGTAAACCACGCCATAGAACAGCTTTTTGGTCGCTCATGCAGCATCTTGGTATTATAGTCTTTGGTATTATTCAATAAAAACTATGGAGAGACGGTGGAGCTAAAATTGATTGACCAAACCTCCGAAAATCACATTTTATAGCTTGAAACGTTTTGGGTTATTTCATAATTTTTACTAAAAATCTGAAGTTTAAATATGAACAAAAACGAGAAGGAACGGTTGAGTCGCTTCTGGGGACTCGACTCTACCTATACCCGTATCTCAGGCTGAGGTATGCATCAGTCTGTCAAGGGTCCGCTACAAGAAAATTTGTAGATCACAGGTGACTTCAGGTGCCGGGCGGGCTTGAAATGCAGTAGGCAAGGGAGAAATGATGACGCGAGAGTTTGGTTTGGTTTTGGTTGTTCTTGGTTTATTCAGTACTTTTCATTCACTTAGTTATTTACGTTGTTGCCCTTGCTTTTGGCTGTGTGGTGCGCTGGTGGACTGCGTTGTGTGGTGTTTTGCGTTTGTGACTGCCTAGTGCAGTGTCTTGTGTTCTTGGCCTCTTGTGTTCGGTCTGATGTACTGCCTAGTGCAGAGTCTTGGGTGTGTGACTGAGGGACTGCCTAGTGCAGTGTCTTGTGTTCGGGCTGATGGACTGCCTGCTCTTTCGGCCGATCTTGGCCCTTTTATGTAGCAGGCGCTCGCACCTGGGACCCGGAAATATTTGCTTATTGCTAACTTTTGATTATTGGGTGACAATAATTGTGGGGCGTGGTAAGTAGGTCGAAGCTGGGTGCTTCGTTGACAATTGCTTAGTGGGTCGGTGTGTTTTGATGAGAGTGTTTAGCTGAGGCTGCATCGCAGCCTACCTCCGCATCACGAAGGTGATATCTGAATTTGGGTCGATGTTTCGAGGTCGAGTGGTTGCGAAATATCGCCAAGAAGTGGGTGACCGAGAATTTCGTGCTGTTTTTTTCGCTGATTGCGAAATAATGCAGAATGGGTAGAGTTGTTGATCGAGAGTTCTTAATTTTAGTAATTGCGTGCGTTGCTTAAGACTATTTTATTTTCTGGATGTGCTGACGCACCGCTATTTGTGGAGAACCGTGGTTCGTTGGCTCTGTGTATATCAGTTTGATTATTGTTGCCGACTAGCGTGCTTGCTGTAGGAAGCGGGGGAAGCAACTGAAGATTATTTTCTTCATTCTGGCTATAATTATGATCCGATCTTATTCAGATTCGGCAATCTGGTAGATATGATCATTCTCTACGATACTGTGTTTTCAGTTTTATCGTATCTGTAAAATTTTGCCTGCCACAGATTTTCGTCTTTTGTGGGGGCGGAAGGGGGCGGGGCGAAATATAATCTTGTAGCAGTATGATATCACAGCAGTCTGGATACAAAATTTGGTTGCTCTATCTCTTATAGTCACTGAGATCTAGGCGCTCATCAAGACGGACAGACAGACATGGCTATATCGACTCGGCTATTGATGCTGATCAAGAATAAATATAATTTATTGGGTCGGAAACGTTTCCTTCTCCTCGTTACACACATCCACTTTTACCACAAATACAATATATGGGTATAAACACAACATTAACACGAAAATTGTACCATCTTTCACAGGATTTTTGATTTGTGGTGATAGAATCGATATGCATGAAGATATAGCGAATCAAAGTTTAAATTTTTTAACATTTTTACAGTTTCTGCAACTTTAGCCATTTAAAAGAAAAAATTTTCGTAGAGTATGGTTTTATTTTCAGACATGAACTTTTTAGCGGCCTCTATTCTTAACAAAATAATCTACTAATAAATAAAATTGTTCAAAGAATGCCAACAGTACGAGGTTTTTAGTAAATGTGCCCTACATTATATATCACATAGTAATGTTTGTTTACTTGAAACTAGAAACTTTATTCCCTTGTTCGTTCCACTTTGTAAATCAAATTATTCCCTTGCACGAACCATTTAGGGTCCTATGCTCGGACCTATATTCCCTCTACCATATAATATCCACCACTAGTTCCCTTCCTC